CCCGGCACCCCCACACCTCTCCTGCAAGGGCCCCAAAAGCCCCTTCTGTGCAGCATCTGGAGAGCCCGAGAGGCCTCAGTTTCATGCCCCAAAGCATGGCTGCTAATGAAGACAAGCGGTGGAGTAGGAGCATGCAGCGACAGAGGCAAAAAAACACATCCGAGGTCAACAGAATGTGGAGTACCTTGTCTTTAGCTAGCTCCTTTTCCAAAGCATATTTTTTGTGCTATTCCTTTTTCTGTCTTTTTAGCCTATCCAGGGAGGGAGACAGAAGCAGGTCAGTTCGCAGCAGCTGACGGGCTCTCCTGCTCATACTCAGCCCATGTGGCATCCACACCTACATGGTCCTTACTCCCCCCAGGGAGGGGCCGGCAGGGCACCTGAGGCTGAGAGGCCGCAAAACCAGCCCTGCAATCAGATGGGCTCCTCTGCAGTCAGACTCTCAGCTCCTTCTGAGCTAGGAAGACAGGGCTGCACCCTTCATCTCCAGTGCTCCCCTCTTAAGAGGATGTGAGCTTTTAAAATATGACCTGAACTAACAGGAGATGTGAATTACTGGCTGCCACCAGTGCTGTGTAAGCGTGCACTGTCCCATCTGTCCCACTGTTCCATCTGTTCCACGCTCAAAGGGACACATTAGCCACCTAGGATTTCTTAATGGGAAACTCGTACAAACTACCCTGGTTTCACTTTTGGTCTTGAAACTGTACTGAGAACACAGGTTCAAACATCACCCTTGCCCCACAGCAAGGAGGCAGTGTAAACCCACCTCTACTCACCTCTCTCTGGGACCTTCTGTTCTCCTCCAGCAAGGACTTCTTCTCCTGCACCGATGCATCCAGCTCACCCCGCAGCCTGGTAATAGTGGATTCCAGAAGCTCCCTCTGCACTGCCGTCCTCTGCTCAGCATCGCGGGCTTTCTGCACACACTGGTCATGCTCAAGGGTTAAATGGTGCCTTCAGGAAGTCAGGAAAGGTGAAAGTCAAGTGAGAGTTCTCACTTGGTGGAGGGATTAAATGTCACAGAACACAGGACCAACTCCCACAGAGAACTGCTACAAATGTTCTTCAGAATCTTTGTGTTTGTAGCTGGCCTAAGCAAGGTGGAAAGGGGAGAAATACAAATGCAAGAACAAGAGACGGTGGGGGGGAGGAGCCTCGAGTACTCACAGCTGAGCCTGCAGCTGCGTCTTCTCCTGCTGAGCGGCCTGCAGCTCGCTCACGACACTGGCGTGGGCTGCATCCAGCAGCAGGCTCTGCTCTTGGAAGGTCTGAGTCATCCTCCTCTGCTCTACCTGAGTGTCAGGGGCGACAGTGAAGGCTGAGAGACTGTATGGTTTGGTGTTACTCAGAGTAAACCATCAAAGGCATGAACCAACTTAGAAAACACAAGTTTTATTTCTGTAGATCAAAATTTTAAGTTTATCTTAATTCCTAGCCTTTTGTTCCAGCCTGTGGTGAATCCATCTGTGTCATTTTACAGCTCCACTGGCCAAGATGAAATACGGATTATTCACACAGGTTGCTGGAAATGTTGCCGAGCTCCTAATATATTTTTAAAGATTAAAATTATATTAAGAATACTTTTCATATATTAATATTTCAGTATGGTCATTTATTTTAAAGGGTTAAACAATCTTAATGTACCTAAGTATCAAGTACGAAGATCCCTTCATCCCTACCTTCTCCTGCCTCCAATCAATCCCACTCTCTAGGGTTGATCATATAATAGCTTAGCTGATCTTAACTTGCACCGAGATACTATTGTAGCAGTAGCACTGAAAACACTCTCTACAATTTTATTTTCTCTTGGTCATCATTTTGGAGCTAACAAAACAACTTTTTTTTTGTATTGGAGATTTATTTTATTTTATTCTTTTTAGGAATTTAGGAAGGATGTACAGGGTATAAAGGGCTTCACTATGTAGATTGGACTCAAAGTAATTCTCCCGTTTTCAGCTCCCAAGTGCTGGGATTACAGCTTCTTGGCCACCACACCCACTCTCAGTCACCACGCCCTGGGCAGGGCCGGAATAGAACTCCGACCGCTGCGCTCTGCCCAAGCAGGCGCTTTAGTCCGCTGAGCTATCTGGCCAGCCCTGGTATTGGAGACTGAACCTACAGTCTTCTGGGTGTGGTGACTGAGAGTGGGTGTGGTGGCCAAGAAGCTGTAATCCCAGCACTTGGGAGCTGAAAACGGGAGAATTACTTCGAGTCCAATCTACATAGTGAAACCCTTTATACCCTGTACATCCTTCCTAAATTCCTACCCCTTTTTTATTGCTTGAGATAACATTTTTACACACACACTTTTACCTAAAACCTTAAAAGTTTTTGCAAACAAACATATTAAGTTATTTTTGTAAATATATTTTAAAATGCTCCTTGGGGACGAGGAGATAGCTCCACAGTCTAAGTGACTGCCTGGCAAGTGCAAGGACCTGGGTTTGATCCCTAGTACTGCATGCCGCATGCCATGCCAGCCAAGAACCCTGGGCATGCCATGGTGACATCTGAGACCAGGCATGGTAGCACACACCTGTAATCCCAGCGCTGGGGAGGCTGAGGCAGGAGGATCACTATGAGCCTGAGCTGTGTAGTGAGACCCTGCACCAAATTAATAAATACAAGATTAAAAGAAGTGCTTCTATTTTAACAATATTTGACAGCAAAACAAAGGCTCACACTTTCACACTTGGTAAATGGAATACTACTTGTGTTCTACCTTAAAAATCTGAACTATTTGTAATGGTGTTACATACATTAGATTATTCTTTAGGTCCATAAAAGGATTTTTGTCTTATTGACACCTATAATTTACCTAGTATCATATTTGGACAGAATAAACACTGCAGAATTAATGAAAAGTATTGAGTGTTTTTATGCACAAAACATGTTTAGCACAGTGGTGAAATAACAGGCACATAAGGCATTAACTTTGCCCCTAGCAGTTCACAACTGAAGACAGGAAATAAATCACCAACATCAATTGTTACTAGACAATGTACAATAGGGGCAGTACAGTGTAATACTTCAAACACTGGTTTTGGGGCTAGAGACACAGCTCAGTGGCTCAGCGCTTGTCTGGCAAGCATGAGGTCTGAACTGGATTCTCAGTATTCCTCCCCCAAATACATAAAGAACAACATGGTTCTCAAATCAGATCTAAGCATATTTTTGTTGTTTTGTTTCATTTTTTGAGATGGGGCCCATATGGTGCCTCAGCTGGTCTTCAACAGCGGACCACAGTGATCCACGTGCCACACTTCTGGGCACACACCACCACACTGGGCCAGACCCAGAGGAGAGCCAGCTCTGCTCCTTGTTGGCTACATGATTGGGGAAGTTAGCAAACACCTCCAAACTCCATCTTGCTGACTGGTAAAATGATAACATTCTTTTATGAGGCAGGTGTTAAGACTGACATATTCTCAGTGGAGTTGTAATTTATATGCCTCACTGCCAGGCAGCTCTGAACCACCGGGGTAACAAGTGTCCCACTGGGCAGCTTGTACTGTCCAGTGGAAGTGTCCCATGCCACCCGAAGGGACAGTCATGTGTGTGCCACCAGTGATTCAAGCCAGTGCAAACATGTTAAAGGTCAACATATGTAAAATCCATAGCACAATGGATACTATATGATAAAAAATAAACACAGAGCTGTTATTATGATAGCTTAGTGTCCAAGGAATAGAACTTGAAAAAGGAGACATCTCTCATGACTGGGAGGATCAAAGTGTTCTCTGATCAAAGTCAGTCTTAACAGAATTTCAAATAGTTGAAGCAGATCAAGGTGGAGCGTACCCTCAGCAGCAAGAGCGGCATGAGCCCAGTGGGCAATCCCAAGGCGTCTGGGGAGATGGTGGGGCTTCAGAGTCAGCCCTAAGTGCTTCTGTAAGCTTTTCCTAATGTAATGAGTTGCAAGAAGCAACCATTCAAAAGCACTGAGTACAAGACCACATAAATATCCCTATGATGACAAACAAAAACTACAAATCAAAAATACAATTCAGGGCCAGCCAAATAGCTCAGCGGATTAAAGTGCCTGCAAGCAGGTGCAGGAGCCAGAAGTTCAATCCCTGGGCCCGCCGCTCTGGCCCTACCCCCGAGGCACCCTGAGATGGCGATTGAGACTGGGCATAGTGCCTGTAATCCCAGTTCTTGGGAGGCTGTTAACAGGTGGGTCACTATGAGTCCAATCTAGTAGTGAGACCCTGAACACCCTGTAGACCCTTCCCTAAAATACAAAAACAAAACAAAACAATTCAGGGAAGTTTTGGAATTTGTTGTGTAAACGTTTTATTACAGGGGTCGGCTGTGCACATTCCAGACCCCTGCAGCCAGCTTGGCTTCCTGCTGCCCTGCCCGCCAGAGCTCCATGCGTACCTGCAGCACAGCCTGGTGGTCAGCGAGCAGCCTGGCCTTTTCTGCACTGGCAGTCTGCAGCATGCTGCTCAGCTCGGAGCACTTTCTAGTCAGCTGGGCATTCAAGACCTAAAACAACATTCACAGCACATCACAGGTATCACGAAGAAGTGTCTCAGTAATGCATCGCTGGTTTTACTGTCTGGAAAGTCTGTCACTGTGTGTAAGCTGCAGTCACCTAACCATGCTCAGTCCATACTTCCTAAGTTTATACAATGCACTCCATGTGTGGAGTCAGTATCATAAAAAGTTCTAACTGAAAAGGATGTGTCCCTTGGCTGGGCAGCACCAGTTGTTCTGCATTTTACCCACCTGTGTTCACAACTCTGAACACAGGTCAACTGAAGCAAGACATTTGTACATGGAACTTACAAGGTGGGCGCCTACCTAATGTTCTAGAAATTGGTTTCCGTAATTGTATCATGAACATTCAAAAATCACTTAGCTGGTAACACAAAATGTTTAAGTTCCTTTACTACCAACATTATTATTTATACTAGCACCAATTATTTTACTGTCAAAATTAATTCTCTTTAGCATTTATAATAGCAAAATGTAAATAATTTCACCATTATAATTTTCTTTCATATTTTGAAATTTGTGATCTGAAAAATATTCATGTTCATTATGAATCATTTTTCCTCCTTTCTGCTCCCAAATATAACCTCTCAAGCCCCCTGCCTGTTCCAGATATAAAAACAATATCATCAACATATACCTTTTTCTTTCTCCTCTCTGTCTTCCTCTTCTTCTCTCTCTCCCCCCTCCCCTTCCCTCCCTCTCTCTCCCTTTCTCTCCCTCTTTCTCCTTCTCTGTCTCCATCTCTTCCTCCCTCTTCCCCTCCCTCTCCAGTTGCAAGGATTTAATTCAGGACCTTGCACTTGCTGGGAAGGC